GTATATTTGGTGGATGAGGGCGAGGACGGGGGGCAGAAGGTGGGAGGGTGGAGATTGGCTCTGCACACACACCTTGTGACTCTCAGATCCTATTTGCCTCACTGGCTTAAAATGTGACAGAAGCAAATCTGGGTATAAGGTGGTGAGGAGCAGATAAGTGGAGCTGAGCATCAGTTTTCACTCCGTCTCCGTCTCCGTCTCCGTCTCCGTCTCACAGACAGCAGAAGAGAAGACAAACAGCAGCTGTGTCATCTGATCCACTCCAGCAGTTTTCTTTTTTATTATTATTCTTCCTGGGAGTTGGTTCTGATCCTGTAACAAACCTGTTCTGAGGCCGAGGCAGAAAAAACATCTGGAGGATTTCATTTTTATTTTGTCTTTTTAAACGAGGTGACAAGAAAGTGAAGACAAATCTGACAAACGGGCCTTTGAACCAACAGGAAGAGTTTAAAATGCACAAAATATAAAATAAAAAACACTAAGTAATATCTTCAAAAGAATATGTGTTTAAATTTAAATAATTAGCTGTTTACAAAAACACACGGTTGTTTTTTTTCCCTGTGTCAGATTTGAAGAAAACCTGATGGAAAATTAGTAAATAAATTCTATTTTTTTTATTTGAAGGGAGAGAAATTATTTCTTACCTGTCAATGAATTTTTACTTTTTTTCTGCAGCTTCTTTAAATTATTAGAGACGACACAGTAGAATTAAATTAAATTTTTTATGTGAAAAATAAACAGGAGAATAAAGATTTCTAAAAAACAAATATGTTGTAAAAATAAAAGCCCGTTAAAATGACGTCCATTAAATATTTCCTAAATAAAAAGATGAAGTGAATTGTAAATAATACGTTTTTAACTTCTTGTAATTCAACCTCTAATAAACCTTTTTTATATATATTTTTTTCATTTATAATAACAGGATGATTTTGGACCAGATCTGTTGGTGAAACACAATCAGAAAACCTCACCTGTCTCCCCCTCTGTCTCCCCCTCTGTCTCCCCCTCTCGTCCGTGTGTCTCACAGCTGCGGTGCTTTTTTTTCTCGGTGATGGTGACGAGGATGAAGGACACGGTCAGAGCTGCGGCAGCGGCGCAGCAGAGGAAGGAGGAAGTGAGAAGCGTCTCCTCTCTCCTCGTCCAACACGTTTAATGAACTGCCGCCGGGCCGCGGAGACGGGAGACGTGTGGCGGCGGGAGAACGCCGCCCGGCGTGTCCCGACCTGACGTGAGAAAATGAGACAGAATGTAAATATTTGACTTTAAAAAAAATCCTGGATCAGAAGTTTGGATTGAAAATTCAGATTTGTTGAAACGACTGAGACAGAAGGCAGACAGAACAGAAAACCGACAGGAAGTTCGTTCTAACGCCTGCTGATGTCATCACTCAGGGACAATTGGGAATAAAATCAAATAAAATCTGTAGATAATTGACTAAAAAATGTAGAGTTTAAATATATATATATAAGATGAACAGGATGGTTTTTATTTTGGTCATGTGACCTGAACGGTCAGAACCAACTGGTCCATTCATCTGTGTGTGTGTGTGTGTGTGTGTGTGTGTGTGAGATACACTGGGAGGAAAAGAATGGTTTTCAAATAAAGGAAATGAATAAAGTGAAGTAGAACGGAGCTGATTCACTGCTGTAACACACACAGAGGGGGGGGGGGGGGGGGGGGGAGACAGATGGAGGGGGAGAGAAGAAGACAGCCACCACATACAACACCATTCATTATTAACACACCCAATATAGCTGGACTGGACACCTCTTCCCCCCCCCCCACCCTCCCCCCCCCCCCCCCCCCCCCTCCCACCCTCCCC